CACTAACACACCCTCAAGAGCTCAAAGTAAGCTTAAAAGTACCTCAGCTCAAAGACCACAAGGTTTGGTTTAGAGTGTATAGGCAAAAGCTTAAGAATTTGCAAGAGAGAGAGAATTGTAAAGAGAGATAGAGAGAGAGAGAGAGAGAGAGAGAGAGAAAGAGAGAGAGAGAATTTTGCTCCAAAATGTTCAACCCTCAAAAATGGAAGGGGAGGCCTTCTATATATAGAAAAACATGAAACTCCCTCAGCAATATCAATACATACGCGTGTAGGCAAGTGCATGCATCTGTGCAAGCAGTTGGCGCATCTGGTCAAAATATCTGCCAAAACACACAAGTGGCCTACAAGCCACTAATTGTGGCCGGCAGCCCACATTGGTGGCCGGCAACCCACATTGGTGGCCGGTAGGTCCCAAGGTTTTTTAGGCTTGAAAAACTATGGTTTTGGTCCAAAAACAAGGCAAAAGGTGTGTAGGGTTTGAAGGCTTAAAGCTGTGACATTTTGCTGAGGATTTCGAGCACTTGATAAGCATATACAAATTCATCATTGGGTGTACAAGCGATGGTGCCCAAGTCGTAAGGGTGGTAAAAAATGGAGTGTCTTCGACCGCTCAAGCTGAGACCGCTCGAGCGTAGGAATTACCACTCGAGTGCAGAATACACTCTCTTAGTAGTTTTGCAGGCCTGCAAAAGTACTGAGAGTTCACAATGTTCGCTCGAGTGCAAGAAGTGATGCTTGAGCGTAAAACAAAATTCTAGGCAACAAGGTTTTTGAAAAACAATGTACCAACCTGTCCCAAACACAACCAACACATCCCCGATTGCCAAACTCAAGGAGGGAAAAGAGGAATAAGACAAGAATAACACAAAACTAGGAAACCCAAGTCCAAAATATCAAATGGGTCGGGTCTAAACCAGAATCGCTATATGATGATTGAAATGGCATGAGGTGATGATGATGAAATGACATAAAGTAAGCAAAGGGGTAACAAAGTCAATTTGTCGAGGCCAAAATTTTTGTCATAATGGCATTTAGGGGTAATTCTATTTCCACACACTATGTACTCTTTGTGCAAACACTTAATGAATCTTTATTTATTTATTTATTACAGTTTTGTCTAAAAATAAAATTGTCAAAATAACCTTATCTTCTTCATTTAAAACCTTAATTCCTAAGCCATAATCCCCCACCACTCCTTTGGCGACGACCTTGACTACTTTTTCTGTAGCGCCATCTTTTCCAACTTCGTATTTGATATCATCCTCCTTAACCTCTTCACGGAATGACCCCATATTCATGGTAGATGGGGCGGTGTAATTATGGGGGTCACGGTACCGGGTTTATGAAGAAATAATGGATAGTGAAACTAGACGCTGTGGAGTAAATGGATTGGTAATAGCCGCTGATGATGGTAGAAGGATGAGTGGAGATGGCGGTACAATTTTTCTGCAGAGGAGGTGGTGGTTGGTCGTCGATGAATGAAGAAGATAAGGATTAGGGGGCTAGGGTTAGGGTTTGAATAATGAAGAAGATGAGAATATTTTTGGTAGGATAGGATGTGTACTGAGCAAACCATAAGATTTTAAATTCATTAAGTGTACATCTAGAGAAAAGATGTGTATTGAGAGGATTTAGTGTGTAAATAGAATTACTCGACATTTAGCCTTTATATATGAGAGTAGATATAATATATATAGGGGTATTTTGGATATTTTGCACCAACATGTTTTATGGAGAAAATATTCAGCCTTTATATATAGGAGTAGATATAATATATATATAGGGGTATTTTGGATATTTTGCACCAACATGTTTTACGGAGAAAATATTTTAGAGTGTAAATTTTTCGACAAACAAAATTTAAATTTATAAATCGAGTGCTTTTTTTAAATTATTTATGTGATAACATGGGTGTAATGTTAATACATGTAAATATACTTCATCAAAATCCAATAAATTAAGTGGTATATTTTAGCAAGAAGGAACTTCATCAAAATCCAATAAATTAAGTGGTATATTTTAGCAAGAAGGAAGCTTTTATCTGGTAATTTCTAGTCCTTAATTGTTTTTTTAGATAGGTTCCTAGTCCTTAATTTGGATCAGAAATCCAATTAGTAATCCGAATCGTTCAAATTTCTTATTTTTCAAGTAAATTATTATGTAAAAAATTTAATTGGTTGGATATTGATAATCACATATTTAGATCACATTTGTTCTTAAAAACTAGATGGTTTGCTTTTTGAAATTATACTTGTTTATTTATTTACAGACAAATGTATTTTAAACATACTATAACTACCAATATTTGATCAATTTTATTTTTTTCATGAATAATTTATTTAAAAAACATACTAAAATTTCAACAATTCAAATTACCATAATTGACCCTAGATAAACCCACGATAGCCAAAATTGGACCCTCCAGTCCTTAATTAGACTATGAATCATATAATTTACCTTTAACTAGAAGTGGTAGCACACTTTCTTTCATAGAAATGAGATTGTGAAATGTATTGTTAAATTTAAATTTAATAATCATTAAAATATATATTTTAAATGTAGAGGATAAATGATTGAAAATAAAGCAAAAATTTAGTTATTTTTATGACAATTACAACTAATTTTCCCTTAACCTTGTTATTTTTAATTATATTAATCTATTTTTTTTATATTTTAAATCAAATTACAAATTTATGTTGGTTTGTCTTCTAATGAACATATAATAATTAAAAATGTTAAAAGGCCAATTTTTTCACTAATAAAAAAGTAATTTTTTTAGCAATTACTAAATACATAAGTTTTTATAGATTGTAAAATTCAAAAAAAAAAAAAATTAAAAAGCAACGAAAAACATAATTGTCAAAACCTACCCTTTTTTTTTGGGATCTATTTATCAAACCCTACCTCAGTTTGCAATTTTCTCAAACTACGATTCAAATACAATTTCCAAGACTGTTTATTGTTGATTTCCACATCTAATCTTTCTTTCAATTGGCCTTAAAAATATAAGAAAAATTAGGGATACATCACTCTATAGGTTTCTGTAAGAGTTCTAATCCATACAAAGTTTGGTGGATAGTTGATGTCGTGAGATTTCAATTTCTAGAAGAATAAAGAAAAATATGATATAAATTGTCAAAAATAACCTTTTGACTTTAAAATCACTCTTTATAGATTTCTTTCTCTCTTTCTATGTTTTTTTTCTTTCAACTATCTCTTTCTCGATCTTCTATTTTCTCTCTCTACCGCAAGGTTTCTCGGATTTGGAGTAGCAATGCCGCCAATGGTAAATCACAACTCTCTTATTGCTATTGTTGATTTCTTCATATAGACCGTTTACAAATCATTTCCGTAGTTTGACTTAGATGACATCTCATAATGACGTGATTGTACAACATTCTTTTTGTACAAACCTCCATTACAACATCTCCATCATTTTGCCACCGCCACCAAGGCCATTTTGTTGCTCCACTGTCTTTTTCGTAGTCCAAATTTATCTTTGTTTTTCATTTTCTTTTTATTTCTCATTCATTTTTCTTTCTATATTTATCTTCTCTCCTTCATCTCTTCGTTACGAAATATATAAATTTGCAGTCACAATATAAAATTTTACAGAGTGAAGCTTATTAAGTGTGAGATTTCACTTAGAGAAATTTCTCTGTTTGAAGTTTATCTAAGTCATATTTCTCTGAAATACATAACGAAATTCCTCTTCACACAGTGAAATGTGATTGAAGGATAATAATTTTAAAAAATGAGAATCAAATGCATGAATTGAGTACTAATTCTAGATTTATGTCTTAAAATTTCAATTGAGTACTAAATAATTTTTTTTTTTTGGATAAATAAAAAGAGTAAATTTATTAGAAAAAACATCAAGATAATGCTAAAGAACGAGAGTCACAGAACTACATCTGAACATGTAAAAATTTAATAAAGTTAACAATTGCAAATAAATGTAGATTCACTATCCTTGAAACCCAACCAGATAAAACCACTAACAACTTATTCTTCAAACAAGGCACTAACGTAACCCTAATCCCTATTACCACTGCAGTCACCACCTTCAGCCCACTGCAGTCACCACCTTCAGCTGCCCCTATCTATTTTTTTCATTTTATCGCATTTGTCTTTGAAAAAATGAACAAGTATTGTCACAAATAAACCATCCATTCTTTTGGATACAAACTCTATAAAATAAAAATGTTATCATTATCAGAATGACTTAACTTTTTTCAACGATGTAAACACAAAAATCCTACAAAATGAACGGGTCTGAATCATCAAAATAAGACCCGTTAACATGGCAGTCAAGTTCAGATTTTGAACTTGAGAGAATTCCCATCCTTGTGAAAAAAAAATCTAAAAAATAGCAAAGTCACTATTGAAGCAACACCATATATAACATTGTTTTATTGATATTTTTTGGGAAAAATTTAAAAATAACAAAGTCACTATTGAAGTAACATGCTAAACTCTAGTATTTTGTCGTTATTTATTATTAAAATATAGCAATAACCGTTTGTTTGCTATTGAGTCATTAGAGATGCTCTTAGGTAATAGCAGAAACATTGCTTCAAAACAATAATTTTGAAGCCTTCAAGCTTGATAAACGTTCGAGTTTAAAAAAATTTGCTAGTTAACAAAAAACGACACTTAAAATACATACACACACATATATATATATATATATATATATATATATTAAGCAAATCAATTAGTTAACATAAATAAAAGATTGTCAAATTATAAACTCTATTGTTGCCTAAACTAACAGGTCACAAAAGAAAACCAAATAATTTTTTTTCGAACTGTCCTATATTTTCAAACCCCTGCAGCACCATTGGAGATTATTGAACTGGCTACAAATTTGGGATTCTACAAGAACACAATAATGACCTTTCCTATTTCTTCTTTCGTAAATATTTTCTCCTGACCATAAAAAAACCATTCCACCCAATTAATATTTTCGTAAATATTTCACTACCTGGCGATCAGTCCAATGAATGGAATTACTACCATTTGAGATGTCAAAACTATTTGGATAACAAAAGAAATTACAACAATATTTAGATCAAGGACCAATTACTATCACTGAGATGGCGAAATATTCAACAATTTTAACACTGAGAAGTTGATTCTCGCAAAAAGATTATAAGATGTGTTCAAAAAATTCCAACATGTAGAAGTAGAACATGTTGTCTCAAACAGTGGATAGGCTTTCAATGAATTGAAAAGCATTATTATAACCAGTTGATTCATGAAAATCACCAGGCTGCAAATCACGAAGCACCTTCCATGTCTTGCAATCCAGATTATAAGAAATATATTTGCCATGGATAGCTAATATCATTTCAAAATCTTTTTCATTTGCTCCCTTGACAACAGACAGCACAGAAAATGGTGGGTGAAAATTCTCAGGGAATGCAGCTTTCAAACGTCTCAGACTAACCCGGTACTTCACATTCCAGCAGCAGGAGTCCCTGTCCATCTCAAGAATTCTGAATCCCATAGGAGAGCACTGACTAGTCTGAATGAGAAACAAATGGCCATGATATTCTCCAAAATACATATACTTCCCGCCAGAAAGAATTTTAGGGTATGGAGGCATTGGAGCTCCCGTCAGAGTTTCCGCATCAACATCAAATCGAAAGTGAATGTTCTGGTCACTCATCCAATGAATTGCTCCATTCCAAAAGACCCTGCGTGTGAGGGAGTCACCTGGTGATGTACTGACAGGAATGTGTTTCCAAGATGCACTTTCTGAAGAGTAGATATCAATCCAATAGGAGCTTCCTCTGATTCCAGCGAAAAGAGGAGAGCAATTAACCAATACAACTTTGTAGTGAGGTGATTTTAAAGGATCAAAAGCTAAGTAAGCACCAAACCCATGAAGTGACAATCTAGATGATTTGCTATTGGGTTCAGCTAGTGTAGTGTATTTCTGGGTGGTCGGATTACAAACAATGAAATGCCTCCCGTAAACCTTCGAGCACAACAGTAAGCCATTGCAAGAGTCCACAATCCTAGGTGTAGATCTTTCTCCAACACCGTTGAGGAAGGCAAGTGTTGGAAGACTGGAGTGGCTGTGAAATGAAACAGAAATAAGTTCCTTGAAGTTCCAAGGTTTGTAGTGGAAGTATAGGCCCGAGATCAATGAAATCTTCATTCGGCGGGCATGGTTGCAGGAAAATTGTGGGTCAGAGATGAGAGAGAGCCAATGCTTAGATACACACTTGAATCTGAGGAGTGACTTTGTCGGCACATGTAAAAGGATCTCCGTCAGAAGATCTACATTGCTGATAATTACTTCTGCTGCCAGTGAGTCTTCCAATGATGTGCAGCCAATAGCTAGCTTTCTTCTTTTGTTGGTTATTTCGTTGGTCATTTTTTCCTGTTCATAACCCTCAAGAAGATCAAAAACAGAGAATGTGCGTAGATCTGTGATGCGTATCGTATTATGCAGATGAAAAAGAATGGCTCTGAGCATGAATTTTGAGATGAGAGAAGAAGAAACAGAGCACTGGAAATGGAAATGGAAATGGAAATGGAAATGGAAATAGAAAATAACAGAGAAAGGAAAAGAGAGATGCAGAGCAAATGAGAGAAAAACACAAGCTCTGATACAATATAACAGAAGACCTCTTATACAATCCTTTTCATATATACAACTAACAAACCCTACTAACTGTCAACTACCCTTTGTAACTAACCTGATCTAATTATGTAACTATCTTCCATTGCTTACAATTTGTGTAACAAACTTAATTACTAATAACTGTCCCATTCACAGCTCAACTTCAATAACCTCTTGGCTACAATAATCTCCAATTTAACTTTCCTTTTACTCCTTTAGTAGTAACAATGTGATTACGGGGAGGGCTATTTCATTATGTAATTTATGTTTGATGACTTTTCAACTTCCATGTCCAAATCTGTAAGTAATGCTAAAACTTTTCCTTTTCCAGATAAAATTACAAGCACTTCTTGTTCCTTCTTGTTCCTTTTCCACAACAAGAAGTGAAACTCATAGTCACTTCTTGTTCCTTTTCCACAACAAGCAGAAACTCGATGTGCCTCTAGGGATCATGACGAAAGTTTCAGCATATTCCCTATATCCATAGTAATTCCAGCAGCAAATACCTCCTGCACAAAGACCTACATTTTACATTTTTGCCAAGCATTGTACAAGAACTTATTTGGGTTATGTTGGGGTAACTTGTGGATGACTTAAATAGATAGATTGTGGATGACTTAAATAGATAGATGCTTACATGATTTGTATATAGCAAATAAATGAAACTAGAGAAGAATTCCCTAGTTAAAAAGTTGATATTAGGGCATATCCAATTCTTATCATTTACCATACCCAAATGACTCAAATCAAGGGAGACCCTTCTATTTACTCAAATTGTTAAAGACATTTTTACTGTGATTTAGTAGCTTCTAAATTTACAGTTGTGCCATTTACCAAAGATTTACTCAAATTTATACTGAAATTTGAGTTTGGCCATTGGAGTAATCTCTATGAAATGAAGCTTTTTTACTCAAATCTGTATATCAAAAAGTGACATCACTAAAATTATCTCAACAGTAAACTTACTTACCTCTTCATTTTCTTCATCCTCTTGTTGAGATGAAATAAACTTTCCAAGTTCAACTTCTTGATTTGTGGTTGTGGTATTTTCAGAAGCACAATGGATATGGAGATCAAAGTCACAGCTTGAGCAACTGAAACAAAACCCAGATCCAGATTGACCGCAGGAATCGCAGGTGAAGGAACCGGAGGTGTAAGTAGGGTATGGGACTAGGGTTAGAGGATGAATAGGGTGGGATGGGTGGTTTATGGAGCGACTCGCTAGAAAGCATTGTTGATGGAGGAAGAACTTGCATTGACTGCAGACGAAAATCACACCTGAGCATGGCAAGTTACAACCAGAGCAATCGATTCCGATATTTGGGAATTTAAGGAGGGTTAGGTTGTGGGGGTGACTAAAATGCTTGTTCGACGACGACGACATATTGATGGCATTGTATAGAGCTTCATCATCGTCTTCCGATGATGAGTTCTTTGATTTCGACGGTTTCGCCATGGGTTCGAAGCTCAAGGGTTTGGCGCGGCAGCCACAATAGGTAAATAACATGAGGTTGTGGGGTTTCTTTTTGTTTTTTCTTTTTTTATTGCTCCTCCAATCACCACTCACCACGTGTTTGTGGAAGTTGTGGGGTGGTGAATAGAGGGGGTCTCTATCATGACTCGGTAAATAAATATGGTTAATTTCAATTTTATCCCTTAAAATATCACAATTTTTTTGGACAAATTACCAACACCTCTCTTGAGGTTTAGCTAAATTACATATTTTCTCCTAAAGTTTTAGAAACTACATCCTATCTCTTATGATTTATATTTGCATAATAATTTAACCCATATCGTTAACTAAGGCCTCGTTTGGGAACCCTCAATTTTAGCAAAAAAGTCAAAAAGTTACTAATTAGTCAAAAAACCAACAACCCATACCAAAAAGTCAAAGATTCTATTTTCTCTCTACTTTTTGCACATCTTTTTGTAAAAAGTCAAAAAATATCCCAAACATACTAGTTTTTTTTTAGCTCATATTTTAGCCAAATAGCCAAAAAGTTACTAAATTAGCTTGTTCCCAAACGAGGCCTAAATGTTAAGAATGATTAGCTTATATCACCAAAATATAAATTGATGGACGATATTACCTCTGCTAAAATCTCTTTGACAAATCAACAAAATTTACAAAAAAATTACATTAGATGAAAAAAATATAAAAAAAAAATTAAGTTTTTGAAACCATATTTGATTTGTTGTTTAGAAAAAAAAATTCAGAATAAAAAAAAAACAAATTTAATAAAAATAAATATGAAAAAATATATTTAATTTGTAAAAATTATTTCTAACCATTCAAAAGATAAAATTATACAAAAATAATATTTATATTTTATTTTTTATTTCTTAACCAAATTAATTTTAATTTTTTTTAAAAAAAATTAAAAATAAATTTCTAAAAATCAAACCAAACATATTCTAAGAATTTTTTGATAAGTCATTTCTTATGTTTTTAACTTATTTAATTATTTGTTAATTTTATAATATTTTCACCATCAGACACTACAACATATAAGAGTTTTAGATACCAAATAAAATTAATTACGAAAAGTCGCTAAAAGGTCACATTGAAAAGTAAAAAATAAGGCTTTTAGCGATAAAATTTCGAAAATGTCAATAATAAATACTTTTAGAGATAAAATAATTTGGTCTTAAAATGGTTAAGTTTTTTAGATAAAAATTTTGATACCCAAAAGAAAATAATTAATCACTAATGTTCAATTTTCGTTACTAAAAGTATAATAACGACATTTTTCGCAACAAAAATATTTGGTCCCTTAAAAATAATTTGGTCCCTAAATTTTGGTCTCTAAAACTTTAATTTTTTGTAGTGTAATAAGTGTTTTTCCATTTTAATCTTGCATTTCATAACTTATTTAAAAATGATAATTTAGCTAAACCTCAAGGGGGAATTTGTAATTTAGTTAAACCTCATGAGAAATATGTAATTTATTTAAACCTTAAGGGAAATCTGTAATTTAGCGAAACCGCAAGGGATTTTTAGTTAATTTATGATATCCGTTGACGGTGTTAATTGTGATGGGACGGGATGTAATTTTTAAAACCTCATGAGGAAATCTGTAATTTCGTTAAACCTCAAGGGAGGTATAGATAATTGGCCCCAAATTTTTTATGGTACAGCTAAGGTGTTGTCAGGCCACAGTGGGTTCAATCCCATACCCATTTTAATGATCTAAACTATTTAAAGTATATAGTTTGTCGAATACATCAATTTTACAAATATATATATATATTCATCGAATATTCATAGCAATTTGATTAGATTGAATTTGTTTTAAAGGCAATTATGATTTTAAAAATATATCACAAATAAAAATGCAATCTAATCAAATGGTTATCGATATTCAATCAATGTAATTTTTGACAAGGAACATGTACTAAACGAATTCTACACATTAACGGATTCGATGATCAAGATGGACTCAAAATCAGGCTCACTGAGATAGAATTGTGACGCCCCTGAAAAATGTTTTCTCTTTAAAAACCCTAATGTTTAAATTATTTTCTTAAAGCCCTTAGTTACTTGAATTATTTCGAATCTTGTCGGTTAGCATTTTTTTTTTATTTATCAAAAACATAATATCCCAGCTGGATTAGATTCCTTAGCCTAATTTAATTAAATTCTACATCCAATACATGAATTTAACTTCAAGCCCTCACTTCTTTATTTAAATTCAAAATTTTCCCAAAACTAGTACATCACTACAACATTTTCTTAGTTTAGTGACATTTGAAAGTGCCACAAAACTATTCTTCTAATGACATTTTTTGGTCTTGTGGCATTTTGAACAAGTGCCACTTAATGTCATGGTAGATATTATTTGTGGCACTATCAAGCGCCATTAAAAAAAGAGTTAGTGACACTTATAAGTGTCATTATACCATCAAGACTAAAACCTTTCAGTGACATTTTAATGCCATGGTAGGCACTATTCGTGACGCTATCAAGTGTCATTCGTGATGATAATTCTTTGTAGAACAATTTGATCCGCTCTTGCAGAGACTCGAACCGCCAACCTCCCGCACCATAAACCTTATACACCACACTCTTCCCACTACACCTCTATAGCACCATATGATTATATATGCAACATATATTATTTATATAGTATATACATCTATATTAATATAAAAGTATATGTATAAACATAATTATTTTATTGAACATAATTTATGTAAAATAAACTATTTACTAGTAAAATAAAAAAAGACCACTTTTGGCGACTAAAAATATTTTTTGGTCGCCAATTCTATATTTTTGGCTACTAATTGTTTTTTAGTTGCTAAAAAACTTAAATTTTGCCGACCAAAATCGGATTTGGTCACCGAAGATGCATATTCAGCTACCAAAATTTTGGTTGCCAAAAATTTAATTCTCACTTAGGATTTTAGTTCTCCCGCGCTAAAAATAATCACTTTTGGCAACTAAACTTATTTTTTAGTCGCCAATTATACACTTTTGGCTACGAAAATTTTTTTAGTCACCAAAAAGCTTTATTTTTGGCTACTAAAATTTTTTTAGTCGGTAAAACCCATATAATCAGTGACCAAACTTATTTTTAGTCGCCAATTATAGACTTTTGGCTACTAAAATTGTTTAAGCTTTTGGCTACTAATGCTGTTTTGGTTGCTGAAAACTATACTTTCAGCGACCAAATTTTTTTTAGTCAGGAAATTTAGTCGTCGAATATGTTTTTTCCTGTAGTGTATATTGAGTCATTGAACTTCCCAAGGTTAAACTCCCTAATCACTCCTAATTCATTGAACTTCCCAAGGTTAAACTCCCTAATCACTCCTAATTCATTGAACTTCCCAAGGTTAAACTCCCTAATCACTCCTAATTCATTGAACTTCCCAAGGTTAAACTCCCTAATCACTCCTAATTCATTGAACTTCCCAAGGTTAAACTCCCTAATCACTCCTAATTCATTGAACTTCCCAAGGTTAAACTCCCTAATCACTCCTAATTCATTGAACTTCCCAAGGTTAAACTCCCTAATCACTCCTAATTCATTGAACTTCCCAAGGTTAAACTCCCTAATCACTCCTAATTCATTGAACTTCCCAAGGTTAAACTCCCTAATCACTCCTAATTCATTGAACTTCCCAAGGTTAAGCTCCCTAATCACTCCTAATTCATTGAACTTCCCAAGGTTAAGCTCCCTAATCACTCCTAATTCATTGAACTTCCCAAGGTTAAGCTCCCTAATCACTCCTAATTCATTGAACTTCCCAAGGTTAAGCTCCCTAATCACTCCTAATTCATTGAACTTCCCAAGGTTAAGCTCCCTAATCACTCCTAATTCATTGAACTTCCCAAGGTTAAGCTCCCTAATCACTCCTAATTCATTGAACTTCCCAAGGTTAAGCTCCCTAATCACTCCTAATTCATTGAACTTCCCAAGGTTAAGCTCCCTAAGCACTCGTAATTCATTGAACTCCAAGTAAATTCTAGCTTGTCCATTCAATTCCAACTAGTAGGCTTCTATGTCATTTTACACCAAAATTGCTTATAAATATCACCACTCCCTAACTTGGCAAACACAAGCATCACACTCACACACACACTTTCGACTAGAGGAGGGGAAGGAGAACAAGAGAGAAGTCTTGAGAGGAAGAGGAAGGGAGAAGAGAGCCATTTTGTTCAAAGCTTAGCAAGTAAGCCACAACACAACCTTCTCTTTCATTTTCCTTTTTCAAATACATGTTCTTAAGGGTTCTAAATATTGTTTTCAGATGCGTCATTGATATATGTTAGTTAGCATGTTTTCATCATAAAAGAGACGAAAATTTTCCCTTAGTGGATCCATTTTCCCCTAAATCTTCTTGTTTTGAGTATTGTACCTCAGAATTTGTTTTTGCAGCCACTTTCAAAAATTCTAGCAAAATGTATAAAATTATTCTGGACCTCTATTTTATGTCAAAATGTTCCTTAAGGAGATAGCTTTCAACTAAAATTAGTTTCATGGAAAAACAGTGAGCGGTTTTCAAGAAAATCAAATTTTCGTAACGATCGACGAATCAGGACAGAGCTGGAGTGTATTCTAAATAACTTAAAATCTAGAAAAGCTATCCCATTTCCGAAATATGTTCTAGAAACAGATTAGATTCTCTACGAACCATAGGAAGGCCGAGTCAGGTAAAATTTTTAAAATAGCCCTTCTTTTCTAATCCCTATGTGATACCGAATATGGAAATCTTGTTATGCATAGGTGTTTTATGCTTTTTTTGTTCATGAAAATGTTTATTAGCATATGATCAAATCTTGGCATGATGTTGTACATATTATGGTTATGTTCTTATTCTCCTTCATCTTAATGATGCATGCTTATGCGGATATTATTATCTTGTTAAGATTGGTTTAACCTTGTTTAAAAACATTTAACTCAACGGGAAACTTAATTGGGATGGTATTGGGTTTCCGATCACTTGAGTAATAATGATAATGTGTGATGTGTGGATTGTTGGGATGCGTTCCCTCTTTGGAAGTTAAAG